ATTCGAGCTCGGACCCCTGAATTTCTGAATTTCTGAATTTCTGAATTTCTGAATTTCTGAATTTCTGAATTTCTGAATTTCTGAATTTCTGAATTTCTGAATTTCTGAATTTCTGAATTTCTGAATTTCTGAATTTCTGAATTTCTGAATTTCTGAATTTCTGATTTTCTGAATTTCTGAATTTCTGATTTTCTGAATTTCTGAATTTCTGATTTTCTGAATTTCTGAATTTCTGAATTTCTGAATTTCTGAATTCCCTAATCCCCTATAATTAGCCTAATCTAATTGATTTTTTCTGTTTTCATTCATTTCTCACTAGCTCACAAAAAAAAATATGCCCAAAAAAACAAAAAATAATTTCTGATTTGTCTCTCGGAGCCCACATTCTTCTTCTCTGTTGGAGATGTGACTCAAATCAAACTCTATTATGGAGTTGAGAGATAAAGAGAGAGAGAGAGAGAGAGAGAGAGAGAGAGAGAGAGAGAGAGAGAGAGAGAGATGCATAATGTGCATCTTCTTCTGACAAACTGGGGGTCTCCCTCTCTATCTCTTGTGATGGAGAAGACCCAGGACGTGTCCAATTTCAGATTGGGATCTCTTGGGACGACACCCCCTATCTCTGAGCAATCGTAGAAGTTTTTTTTCTTGTCGATGTGTGCATTGGTTTCCTGTTTTTTATTCATTTTGTTTTATTTTTGAATTCTCAAATGTTTACCGTAAAACCTGTATTAGAAGGGCCCCTTGAACAGAAGGAAGTCCCTCTAATAGAAGGACCCTCCGAGAGGGGCTTGGTAAAATAGAAAGGGCCTTCTGTGAAAAAAGAGCCCCCTCTAAGAATGTGTTTTGAAATCAGAAAATTTCCGTACTTTTCCAATGGAAAATACTCCGGGAGCTCCACAATTGAATAGGAATTTGTTGAAACTCTATTTTTCAATCAAAATCTTGCTAAATTTTGGTGAAATTTGCAGATTCTCATGAATTTTGAACAAAACTTCGTCGAGTTTTTCGATACAAAATTTCGGAAAAATAGAAGACCGCCCCCTCTAATAGAAGGTACCTTGGAACAATAGGGTGCCGACCCTTCTAATGCTGGTTTTACGATGAACTCTTCGGAAAAACTACATGATTCCCAGAATAAAAAAAAACTCCAAGAACTCCAAACAATAAAAAAAAGGAAATTCTGAAAATATGAAATTCTAAAATTGAGAATTTCAAAAATTTTTAAAAGTACTGAATTTTTCCAGACTAGAGGCTTTGAGGTTTTTTGCTCTTTTGAGTTTTTGTTTCGAAATTGTGCTCAAAATTTTGACAAAAACAGAAGTTTTTTTAGTCCCTGGGGACATTTTTTTGAGATTTACCCGAACATACATCTTTCATTTTTCCCATTTTCCTTTTTTTTTGACTTTTCGCAAAAGTTTCAAAATATCAAAGTTCGAATTCTCGGGGAATTTTTAGAGCTCAAAATTCTGAGAAAAAAGTAAATTGTTAAGCTGAATACTTTTGTCTAAAACTCGTAAAAAAAGTTCACTTTGGAAGAATAAATTGGCTTTTGCTGACTCCAGAAAAGTTGTTTTAATGAATTCCTCCATTTTCTATCTTTTCCTTTTTTCGTTGAAAATTTGTGTTTCGAGTTTCCAAAAGTTTTGAAGAAAAAAAAAGAAAAAAATTGATTTGAAATTCATAGAAATTTAGGAAAAAACATTCAGAAAGAGACCTTTTTTCGGATTTTCAACTTTCGAAAAACAGAAATTTTGAAAAAAAAACTTGGGATTAGGAAATTCGATTTGTACCCCAGAAAAGGGTCTAAAAGGGTAGAGCCCTGATTCGATTTTGAAATTCAGAAATATTTTTGGAATTCGAACATTTTTGAGAATCAAAAAATGAATTCGAATTTCTGAATTTCTGAATTTCTGAATTTCTGAATTTCTGAATTTCTGAATTTCTGAATTTCTGAATTTTTGAATTTCTGAATTTCTGAATTTCTGATTTTCTGATTTTCTGAATTTTTGAATTTCTGAATTTCTGAATTTCTGAATTTCTGAATTTCTGAATTTCTGAATTTCTGAATTTTTGAATTTTTGAATTTCTGAATTTCTGAATTTTTGAATTTCTGAATTTTTGAATTTCTGAATTTTTGAAAAAAAAACAAAAAAAATCCTCAAATTGCTCAATTTGCTCTCAAACAATTTCCTTCTAAATTCTTCACTTCCTCTCTCTTTTCTTTTTCGAAATTCTCCGCCAAAAATCATCAATTTCTTTCTTGCGGCTTTCTTTTTTCCCTCAATTTTAGCATCATCGTATTTGTAAAATCCGAATTTTCCGCCTGTTTTAACCCTATAAGCTCAAATTTTTGTTTTCAGAGACCTAAGATCATGACTCCCATAATATAATTTTTGTGACCCAAAAATTGTTTTTCAAATTTTCAAAATTTCGAAAAATGGCGGGAACTGCTGACTGTCAGGAACACGTGGCACGGCCGCGTCGACCCAATATATGTCGGGTCCTAAGACGAACCGGATACGGTAAATGCCTAATTTGCTCACTTCTCCTGGTTCTTTGCTTCTTCTACGCCACCTACTGCCACGTTAAACATGAAGCCTATTCTGGGAGTCAGCCGTTGCTCATGTGAGTTTTTCATCTAAATTTTTGGATTTGGGAGGTCAACAGCTTCAATATGAGTATAAACATGACTAGGTTTTGCTTGTATAATTGCAATCTTGGGATTTTTGAAAATTTGAAAAAATATTTATTTTTCGAAAAATCCCAAAATTTCAAATTCCCTCCAAACCTAGTCATATTTATACTTATTTTATAGCCTTTTCCCTTCTGAATTCAGAATTTCAACTTCAAGCAAATTTCAGCTATCAACACGGCCCATGTGCCCAAGGATACAACTTTGTGCCCATTGTATTTGGCCTTATGCTATACATAGTGTATTTGATGGAATGTTGGCATAGTCGAACGAAAATCATAAATATGAAAAAAGTGAGAGTTGAGGATGCCTTGGACTATATAACTGCTCTGAGGACGAGTCCGCCGATTGTCTGGTGGAAAAGTGTATGTTATCACTATACGAGGAAGACTAGGCAGGTCACTAGGTGGGTACCAAAAAATTTCAAAAAGAAAAAAAAATGTTTCTGGTTCAGATAGATGTAAAATTTAAAAATAATAACAGTCTCTGTTGTGCAAAATCTTCAAAAATTAAAATTTGAGCAATTATGAGCACTTTTCAATATTACCGTATTCCTTCCAATTTCCCAATCCGTCAACTTTGAGCTCTATTACCTCGGTTCCTGTGAAAGATATCTGAAATGTGTCAACTGATAAAATATTGGTGATAATATGATGAATATTTTATCAGTTGACACATTTCTGATATCTTTCACAAGAACAGAGATAATCAAGCTCAAAGTTGACGGTATACATTATTAGGTTTTCCAAATTTTTTGAAAATATGCAAATAGATGTAAAATTCGAAATTAATAGCAGTCTCTGTTGTGCAAAATCTTCAAAAATCAAAATTTCTTTGAAATTTTTTTCTTCGCAGGTACCGTAATGGAGACGCTGTTTCAGCGACTCAAGTCTACTATGAACGAGTGAATTCTCATCAAGCTGGCAGTATGTTCATCTACGATACATGTGGATTTAGGGTGAGGAATAACTCAACAAAGTCCCCAAAAAGTCTACTAATCAGTTGGAATTTTATAATTTTTTAAAGAACACATTCAGTTCTTATTTTCCTTAAATTCGTCTCAAAAAAAGATATGACCCAATTTTTCCTTCCATTACAGTAACGGCTCTTTTTAAAGGCCACCAAAACCATTAGCTTCAAGCTAATTTTTCTAAGTTCTTATGAAAGATATCAAAAAGCGATCAATTGATAAAGTATGTATCATAACGTCACCAATATTTTATCAGTTGACAACTTTTTGATATCTCTTATAGGGATCGAGATAATTGAGCTCGAAGTTGACGTATTCTCAACTTTTCGAGAAAAATGTTTTATCGAAAAAGTGTCAACTACAAAAATTGAGCTCTATTTTTGTTTTAATACAGTTTGAAAACTTCAAAAAACTCAAAAAATTGTATTTAGGAAAATTGAAATTATCTAGTATTATCTAGTAAATCACATAGTATAATTCCATTGGAAACCGACTCTGCACGTATACTTTGAGCTCAATTATCTCGGCTTCTATGAAAGATATCAAAAATTTACAAGTTGATAAAATATCATTGATGTTATGATAAACAATTTATCAGTTAACAAATTTTTGATATCTTTCATAGGTTCCGAGATAATTGAGCTTGAAGTTAAAGGTATGAGTAGGCTTCTATTAGAAGATACCGTAAACACTCTATTAGAAAACCACCATGACCGTTCATTTTGAGCCTATATATCTCACTTCTTTTGAAAGATATCAAAAATGTGTCAACTGATAAAATGTTCATCATAATATCAGCAACATTTTATTAGTTTACCAATTTTTGATATCTCTTATAGGAACTGAGATCATTGATCTTAAAGTAAAAGATAAGCAGTATTTTTTTTTTCTGAATTTTCGAATTTCAGGACATCTCGAAATCAATTCTAGAAGTTGAAAAATTCCACGTCACCAGAATTCGATTAACCAGAAGTTTCGTATTCGCCAACATGCAAGCAGCCACAGAATTCGAACAACAAAGGTCTCGATTTTTCAATGATAATGAGACGAAAGATGATTACATGGAGGTCCGGGAGGGAATGGATTTATCAGATGTTGGATTTGTTGAAGAGATACTTGCATTCAATTGTCCAACACCTCCTTGGTTTCTACATCCAATCGTTTTTTGGTTTTTCTCGATTTTGGTGCTCTCATGGCCCTTGAGAATCTATACAGAGTGGAGGACTGCGGTGCTCAGCTTCCAGGTTGTTAAACTCTTTGGAACGCATTATTTGAGGTGAGTCTTTGATTCAAAAATAAATGAAATTGTTGAAAAAGGGCCCTTCTATTAGAGGGGCCCTTCTATTAAAGGGGCCCTTCAATTGAAGGGGCTCTTCTAATACAGGTTTTACGGTATGTTTAAAAATTCCAGAATATCAAAAATTGAAAAGAAAAACTGGATTTTTTGGAATTTTTGGAATTTGAAAAAAACACCAAACAGGAAATTCGCAAGTTTCAAAAAACTTGAAATTTTTGAAATCTCTGAATTTTGGATTTTAGTGAATTTTCGTTTATTTGTTTAACTTTTGAAATTCTAAATTTTTGGACCTTTAGGACTTTCTGGAAATTTTGAATTTCTCGGAATTTTCGGAATTTTACAAAAGTTTTTTTTTAAATTTTTGGAATTTTTACTTTCTTGGGATTTCCGAATTATTGAATTTCCAATTTTCTGATTTTTTGAAATTTCAGAATTTCAGAATTTTATGGAATTTTAGGATTGTTTGGGAATTTCTAAACTTTTCAAAATTTTCCAAAAATTGAAAAAATCTAGTAAATTTCGAAAATTTGGGAAATCAGAAATTCAAAAATTCAGAAATTCAGAAATTCAGGCCCTCAGAATCTGAGAATCTGAGAATCTGAGAATCTGAGAATCTCAGAAACTCAGAATCTCATAATCTCAGAACCCCAGAATCTCAGAATCTGAGAATCTCAGAAACTCAGAATCTCATAATCTCAGAACCCCAGAATCTCAGAATCTCATCACCTCAGAATCTTAGAATCCCAGAATCTCAGAAACTCAGAATCTCATAATTTCATGATCTCATAATCTCAGAATCTCAGAATCTCATCACCTCAGAATCTTAGAATCCCAGAATCTCAGAAACTCAGAATCTTATAATCTCAGAATCTCAGAAATTTTTTTTGGAATTTTGAAACTTTAAAATATCATATTTATACTCATTTTGAACCTCTCAACCACCAAAATTCAGATTTTCTGAAAATTTTATCAAAAAATTTTCAGTCCCAACTCGATCAACTACACTGGTCCACTGACAAGAACGTCTACAATGGATACTGTAGAATTGGAAGCATTGCTACGGAGGGAGCAACATTTTGTTGTTCCATCGTACAGCGAGGTGATGCTTATGCAGAATACCATTGCCAATTCAAATGTGAGTTTGATCTAGGTCATGGCCTAGAAAAATCTAGGCCACGTCCTACAAGTTCCAAAAATCTCAAGAAACTTGTCTGAAACTTCGAGAATTTTTTTTTGAAAATCCTGAAATTCTGGGCACCCAAAGTGTTATGTAATTCAGAGAATAAGATTTTCAGATTTTCCAAAAAAAAATTTTTTTTGGAAAATTTAAAATTTCCAGACAAATTTCCCAAATCTGCGATTCCTGGAGCCTGTCATTCAGCCTCGACCGTTGGTTAACACAACAAATGAGCATATCGTACTCCGAAATTATGGAGCAACAGACACTGAAAATTCTGAGCAATCATCTACAGTAATCCCAAGACCTCCACCCCTGCGAGTCAGTCGAAGTATGACGTTCGCCGAGGAGAACAACGATGAAAATCTGGGATTTTTGGAGAATGGAAATCGAAGGAATCGAGCGATTCCGTCCAGGGGTACTGTACCTTTGAGGTCTTTATCGATCGGTGGCATTTCTGCTTGGTCCAATGGATATCGAGAGATTGGAAGAGAGGACTCTCAGTTCCTTATTGAGCCCGATGAGCCACCGCCGCCTTATGAGGTAAAGCCATATTTGAAAATTTGAATTTAGCGGGAAAAGAGCTTCCGAATGACTATAAACATGACTGGGTTTCCAAGTTTTGAAGTTTCAAAAAATCAAAAAATTCAAAAAAAAACTTTTTTGAATTTTTTTTCAATTAAAAACCTATAATCTTTTATTTAGACGAATTTAAGATAAATTTCTATTGAATTAATTTTTCAAAAAAAACTTAAAAATTCAAATATTTGCAGGTCGCCCTCCGCATGTGCGCTCCACTGTACGAACGCCTTCGTAGATCAATTTCCTCCCGCTTGGCGTCAATTTCACACTCAAGTTCGAAGGATTTGAAGTCGTTAACGTTGAAAAATAATAATGGAGCGGCTAACAATAACAATAATAATAACAACGAAAACCCAGAAGAACAGCCATAGACATTTTTTTAAAAATCGGGTTGAATTATCTTTTTTTTAATTGAAACGGACCAATTTCGGTGCTTTTAATATTGAATAAATTTTTTTTTCTTTTTTTCTCTCATTTTCAGCGAAAATCGCTGGAATTTGGCGAAATTTCCGCTTTCAAAACTAAATTCAAACTTCCCTCTAGATTACGGTAGACAACAAAGTACCTTTACAACACACTCTACGCGCAATCTTTCTAATTCTCGTTCCAGCTTTGCTCTTGTGTTTTTCGGCCCAAAAATTTTGGTTTTTTGCAAATTTTTGGTGCAAAATTGAGTTTAAAGTCGATATTTGACTTAAATTCACTTTTTTCTTCCAATTTTCAGCAAAAATTTGCGGAAATTCGCTGAAATTTTTCTTTGGGTTACGGTAGACAGAAAAGTTCCCTCACAACAAACTTCACGCGCAATTACACACGTGGCTTTTTCTTGCTCATTTTTGTGTTTTAACCTAATTATTTTTGTGTTTTTGATCTAAAAATATCGGGTTTTCGCTAATGTTACATATAAAATTGAAGTTTTAAGGTTAAAAATCAGCAGAAATTCATTTTTGGCACCCAAAAGTACCCAGATTTGCCTGAAAATCACTCAAATGAAATTCTAGAAATTTCTGAAAAATGCGAAAAAGAAGCGATTTTTATTGTTTTTTTTTCGGTCAATTTTCGCCCCCGGAAAACCTAGAAAATCATCAAAAATTGACAGGAAATTTCAGAATTTCACCCATTTTTGCCCTGAAAATGGACTTTTCTGCCATTTTTTTCCATTTTTTGTTTGATTATCGTCCGGAAAATCGAAAAAAAATTTTCCCTCATATTTTTTCTATTTTTTCCAGAATTCCGATATTCAACACAACTTTACGACCTACAAAAGCTACGAAAGCTACAAGAGCCATCCTCAATGGCGGACCTTCCAAAACCGATCGATAATCGGGGCGTTGGAGGCCGTCTGCTACCGTATACGGTCGGAATGCCCCGCTACGACGATGATCCATTCCGCGGACAACGTCGCCGGCCATGGATGACGTTTCGTGTGGGCGGATCGTCGATGTCTCTGCAGCCTGACACTTTTTTGTGCGTATTTTAAAGCATAAAAGCCTCAATTTTGTTGTTTTTCACCCAAAAAATTCCAGAAACTTCGTAGTCCGATTCAAAAAATCTATGATTGAGGCCGGAGTGCTGCTCGACGAGCATGGCATCAATTTGGCTTGTATCGAGCGAGACTATCAGGAATTGAGAAGCCAGATTCAGGAGGGGCTGGACAAGACAGCCGCAAAATATGATCCTGGACCGATGTCCACGCCGATTGTTCTGCTGATATTGGACAATTTTGGTAGGGAAAAGAGGATTTCTATGAATATTTTGAGTCAAAAGCTTCATTTTCAGCTAAAAAATCCCGATTTTTTCGGTTCAAAAAATTTCAGGTTTCCTCCAGCTAAATCCGAATTTTCAGATGCCGAATCGCTCGAAGCTGCCGTAGACGACTATATCCATAAAGGCTACTACTTCAAACTGGAACGCGACGAGATTCTGGAGATGATCGAGGAGATGGAATACGATAAATTGGAGTGAAAACGCCATAAAAATCCCGAAAATCTCACTAAATATCCGTTTTTTCAGCGAAGCATGTGTGGCATTTGCGCAATATATCGAGGGAATCGAAGGACTTCCCGAATCGTTGGCCCAGCGAATTCCAATTGAGGACAAGTAGGATTTTTTGGGGTTTTACAGTAATTTTTGAGTGGTTTCAGGCGGCTGGAAACGGTCTTAAAACCTTGAAATCCATAAAAATCCGCTAAATATCCCATAAAAATTCAAATTTCCCGCCGAATTTTTGGTTTTTTCAGACCTCAAACATTCGGAGTTTCAACGAAGGTGTTTGGACAGGATGTTGACGTTTTTCATCAGCAATTGGCGAACGGAAACCAGATGAGAAATAGGTACAATTTGGCTGGGAAACGGAGAAAAATTGGCTGAAAATGAAGAAATTTCGGCTAAAAATTAGGAGAAAATTTGCCTCAAAATAAAGAAATTTCGGCTTAAAATTGAGAAAATTGGCTGAAAATGAAGAAATTTCGGCTCAAAATTTGAGAAAATTTGACTGAAAATGAAGAAATTTCAGCCTAAAATTGGAGAAAAATTGGCTAAAAATTGGGAAAAAATCTTTTCAAAATGAAGTAAAAATGGCTGAGAATGAAGAAATTTTGGCTTAAAATCTGTGAAAAATTGGCTGAAAATAAAGAAATTTCGGCTTAAAATCTGAGAAAATTGGAAAAAAATCGCCTCAAAATGAAGTATTACTCTCGTCCGAAATCAATGCACGTTGCGGCCGAAAATTTACTCAAAATCGCATCGTCGGTCGCACAGCGAAAAAACAAATTGATGCATGCGCCTTTAAATACCGTACCTCGGACGTTTTTTTTTTATTTTGGGCCCTGGTTGGCTGTTTTTTTCTATTTTATAAGAAAAATAAATTAAAGATTGATAAGAAATACACAAAATTAGACAGAAACAAGCGAAAAAATGAGAGAAATTTGAGAAAATTCGATAAATGTTGAGGTACTGTATTAAAGGCGCGTGCAATAATTTGAAAAATACAGTAAGGTTCTCTCTGTGGGAGCTAAGCTCCGCCCACCGTTGTTTTCTCGGCCGCAACGTGCATTGGTTTCGGAGAAGAGTAATAAAAGTGGCTAAAAATGAAGAAATTTCGGTTTAAAATCTGAGAAAAATTGGCTGAAAAGGAACCCATTTTGGCTGAAAATCGGAGAAAATTTGACTGAAGATGAAGAAATTTCGGCTAAAAATTAGGAGAAAAATCGCCTCAAAATAAAGAAATTTTGGCTTGAAATTCGAGAAAAATTGGTTAAAAATAAAGAAAAATTGACTTAAAATCTGAGAAAATTTGACTGAAAATAAAGAAATTTCGGTTCAAAATCTGAGAAAAATTGGCTGAAAAGGAAGAAATTTTGGCTGAAAATTGGAGAAAAATTGGCTGAAAAACGAAGAAAAATTGGCTGAGAATGACTGAAAATATTTTGATCTACCCGAAAAAAACTTGAATTTCCGGCGCGAAATTTTTCATTTTTCGGTATTTTAAACTTCAAAAATGGGGAGTTTTCTTCTCCTTTTTCCCTGTTTCCTCTCGTAGAAACGGGAAATAGACGAGCAGAGAAATAGTACGGGAAAATGAGAGACGCAGCGAGAAAAGCAGGTTTTGACACACTTCCACACTTTAGATTTGAATTATTTTTCTAGTGAAAAATTTGGAAAAATTGAAATTCTATAAATTTTAATAGAAATTCTACTTTTTAATTAAAATATAAAAGACGATTTTTCGTTTTTTTTTTGTCTGAAAATCAGCAATTTTTCGTTCGCAAATTGATTTTTAAATCAATTTTTGTCTGAAAATCGTCTTTTTTCCCAAAAAAATCTTCGAAAAATGCATTTTTGTGTCATTTTTCAGCTATTTATCTCCCTTCAATTTTTCCTATATTTCTTCATTTTTCGCTCCGAATCCTCCTTTTCCCTCTATTTCAGTCTGAAATTTTCAGACCACGGAATCGTCGCCGTCCCCAAGAAGTCCAAAAACAACAACCTCAAAACGACCCTCTGGACTATCAGAAGGAGTTGGACGACGACGAAGTGCCTCCACTGACCACAATGGATCCAGCACCGCCGGGACTCGCGCCGCCGGGTCTTCACCAGAACGGAGGACGTCAGCAGAATCAGCAGAACTATCGAGGACCGACAGGATTGGATCATAATGGTCCGCCAGGATTAACGGTACGGCCACCGCCTGGAATCGAATACAATAGACCGCCAGGACTTTCCAGTGAGTCGATTTTGAATGAAAATAAGCTAAAAATGAGAATGGAGTTTGTTGAAATTGGTAGAAAATTAGCTGGGAAATGGCTCAAAAAGGGCTAAAAATATGCTGAAAGTCTCGAATTTTAAGCCTAAAAATTGAATTTTCAGCGCCCAGCCATCACAATCACCAACCACAATCGACGTCATCAAACGGAAGACCAGAATCTTTAGAAGTCGATGATCCCAACGTTCTGTCGTATGAGGAGGTGAAACGAGCCAAAAAACATTTGCCGCCGGAAGATGAGAACGTTGAAGAGAGAGGTTTGGAAGCGAGAAGGAAGCATCATAGTTTGATGGTAGGGATTACTGTAGTCTTGGTTGAAATTTGGAAAATATGGAATTTTACCATCAAAATGCTGATTTTTGGCTCTGAAAATGCTGATTTTAGCTTTAAAAAATACGGATATTCGGTTTCAAAAATACGGAATTATGACCTAAAATACGTAATCTTGCCTCAGGAATACTAATTTTCGGGTCTAAAAATATGTGATTTTGGCATGAAAAAGTAGAATTTTGGCTCAAAAAATTTGGAATTTTCTGCACTAAAATATTGATTTCCGGCTCAAAAATATGGGAATTCAGCTCTAAAAATATGGAATTTCGGCTCCAAAATGCGGATTTTTGGCTCTACAAATATGTCATTCTGGCTCAAAATAATGGAATTCTAGCTTTAAAATGCTGATTTTCGGCTTTAAAAAATCAGGAATTCTGTCTCTAAAATATGGAATTTTGGCATTAAAATAATGAATTTTGGCATTGAAAATATGGGATTTTGACTCTAAAAATCATAATAATCGACCTGGAATCGGCTGAAAAGGACTCTGAAAACTTTCAGTCCCGAGATCTGAACTGCCAGAAGCTCATGGGCCGTCTCAACCACCCATTCATCCATCTGGCGCACAATTTGGACCTTCTGCACGTCATCAACTACGCCGTCTCCACCAGAGAAAAATCAGTGTTATCACACAGCAAAACGATTATCACCGAGATATTCAATCGTGAATTCGAGCAAAAACTACACAAAAAATGGCTCGCCAGACCGTTTGTCACCGGAGAATGGAATTATCAGGCGACGACGTTGGTCTTTGAGATAATGATGCTCTTTTTCAATACGGCAAGATTCCAGAATGGATTTATGCTGACGATTGAGAGCTATGTGAGTTTTTGGAGGTATTTGAATGAAAATATTCCCAAATTTTCAGAACGAATGCTGGCTGAACTTCATCGAATCCTACGACACCACGAATCTTGGCCAGATGGCGAGAGCTGGCGTCACTGAACGCGAATTCGACAATCTTAAGATCCTCCAGATTCACATTGATAAGTGGATCAATGCGGCGAAGACGGCGGCTCGAGATCAACCGCGTAGGAATCCTGAACCTTCGAAAGACGAGACGGATTTTGTGGATAGACGACGTGCCGACACGAGATCCGAGGATCTGGAGGCATATAACAGAAGACGTGACGAGAATTTTCGAAAGGCACAGGAAGAGGAAGAGGCGAGGAAACGTGAGGAGCCTAGGAGAGCTTTGGAAGTCAAGGCCCTTCTGAATCTAGAAGCTTCGGAGGGCCGGAGACGTCCGGATCCAGAAGCTTTGGAAGACAACCATCACCAGAATCCAGAAGGCCAGAATATCATGATTCTGAAGCCAGAAATCTTGCATCGAGGAGCTTCGGGAGACAACAATCTCCAGAATCGCGAAGACCAGAGTATCATGATTCTGCACCTCGAACATTCGGACGACAACCATCTCTGGATTCCAGAAGACCGGAAATGACATCACAACAATTCGGAGATCCTTCAGGAAACGACTCCAGAAGCTTCGGACGACAGCCATCACCGTATTCTAGAAGACAAGATTCTGAATTCCGAAATCCTCCATCTAGAAGCTTCGGAAGACCACCATCTCCTGAATCGAGACGACAAGAAGATTATCCATCACAGCGATACGAAGGTCCATCTAGAAGTTTCGGACGACAAGAGATGGATTCTAGAAGAACAGAATACGACGATGATGAACCTCAAAGGTTCGGAGATCCTTCAGGGACCACATCCAGAAGCTTCGGAAGACAACCTTTTCCAGATTCCAGAAGACCAGACAACCAAGACTACGCGCCACAACGATTTGGAGAACCTTCAGGCACCACATCCAGAAGCTTCGGAAGACAGCCATCTCCCGATTCCAGAAGATCAGAATACCAAGATTCTCAGTCTAGAAGCTGTGGAAGTCCAGAATCCAGAAGACAACCATCTCCAGAAAATAGAAGACCTCCAGTATCCCAGAACCCACCACCTCGCTCCAGAAGAATGACTCCATCTCCGCCGATCTCCGAAGAGGAATTCCTCCGACGTCAAGCGATCCGCTTTCAGAAACGACGAGAACAAGATCCGACGTACGGACAGCCGCTGGGGCTTCATCGAGTCGGTGGCGCCGACAGTGACTACGGAGATCTGGATTTGACGACGACGGACGACGAGGCTCCAGAATCCGTTGGGACTTCAGAAGACGTTAAAAAGGAAGAAAAAGAGGATAATCTGCCAACTATAGATGTCGATGCCAAGCCACGTCAACCGTATGTTCAGCAGACCGAAATGGATGGAGAGTATCAGCCAATGTGGATGAAGAGTGAGAAGACGGAGCCGCCGGAGGATTTTCGAGTGAGATTTTTCAAGAAATTTGAGCCTGAAACGTCCGAAATGATGATAAACGACTGATTTGGCCCTGAAAATTGCAATTTTTGAGTTGGATTTTCGAGTTTTCAGACCCTTTTTTTGTTAAAAAACGAATTTCCAGACCCTAACCGCCGTTCCGACGCTCAAAGACTACGTCAACGCCTCCGAACCGTATCTCCGTCGAATCGTTGAACTCGGCGTCTACACCTCCGCCGATCACTACCTCGACGTTCAATTCCGTCTTCTCCGCGAGGATCTCGTCAGTCCGATGCGTGACGGTCTGGACATCTACCGTAAGAATGGCACATGCAAAGGACGACGTCTAGAGGGACAGAACATGAATTCTGACATTTCCATTACAAATATCGAGAGAGTGGATGGAAAACAAGTGACTGATAAGGATGGCTGGGAGATGCGAATCATTCATCCATCGAGTTTTGATATCTCCAAATTGCTGGAGAACGATCGAGAGATGAAGGAGTCTGGATTGGTGATGTTGTCTTGCGATAGATTCGTGGATGATTTCCATTTGGGACACGTTCAGACGTCAGTACTAGCTAAAGGCCAATTACACCTGGCTGTTCACGAGGAGACGGCTCCATTCCAGCCTGACAAGAGCTATATGATGGCAGAGGCCACTTCATATCTTCCAGCCTATGAGCATGTTCTGAATGCACTGAAGACCTTGAGTCCGTTCAAACCGATTCCGTTCGAACGATACCTAGTTCATGGTCGAAAGGAGATCTATCGCCCCAATTTTCATCGATTTGAGAAGTCTGAAGAGCAAATTGCGGAGGAACGTCGTCTGGAGAGGATTTACAATGAGAAGCGATCGAGAGCCGCGGCAAAACGGCTCATGGCTGATAAACCGATTCCACGTGGATTAGAAGAGGACGATGACTACTACATAATGAATAGAAAAGTGCCACCGAAGGAGGAGCAAGATTTGGAGTATTTGCAGTTGCAGGAGCCGATTTTTAGGCCGTTCATTGCCGTGGATAGTAAAGGTAAGAGTCTGATTCCAAAAAATCTGCCAGAAATGAGCAATTTTAGGCTCCATAATCTGTCCATCATATTGTCAGATTAATGACTTTCAGCCTAGAATTGTTTCAGCCAAAACTCGAAAATAGTACACATTTTGAGAATCAAAATTTGGAAAAAAGTAAAAAGAAGCCTATTTTGGGGTAAAATAAGCCATTTTAAAGCCTATTTTTAGTCTAAAATCAGCCATTTTGAGCCTATTTTAAGCCTATTTTAGACCTAAATTTGTAAGCCAATTTTGAACCAAAAACTAGCAATTTTTAACTTAAAAATTTTAAGCCTATTCTCAGCATTCTCTTTAGCCTTTTCTCAGCCCTTTTTTCAGCCATTTTCAAGCCAATTTTGAGCCAAAACTAGCCATTTTGAGCCTAATTTCAGTCTATTTTAGACCTAATTCAAGCCTTTTTCAGCCTATTTTGTATACCTCATTTCAGTCTGTTTTTAACATATTTCAAGACTATTTTAAGCCTATCTTTAGGCCATTTTAAGGCTATTTTCAGCCTATTTTGAGCCTATTTTTAGCCTGTTTTAAGGCTATTCCAGCCAGTTTTGCGCCTAATTTCACACAGAATCCTCATATTTTCCAGGCTCTGACAACATTCTAATCGACCAAAAATGGTACAAAGTCTCAAAACTGCTCAACGATTTCCACCCGACCAACATGGACGAAAGCCAGCGTGTCGCCTTCTGCAACACGTTCAAACACGAGCTATCGTTGATTCAAGGACCACCGGGTACTGGAAAAACGCACATTGGCGTTCAAATCGTCAAAACGATGCTCCACAACCGGGGACACTGGAAGATCACGTCGCCGATTCTGGTGGTGTGCTTCACGAATTCAGGATTGGACAATTTGTTGGAGAGAATTCATCAGATGATTTTGGGTAGGTTTAATATGCTGAAATGCGTAGAAAAATGTCTAGATTTATGGCTAAAATCGCTTCTAGAAGATTCTGGATGCCTTTTTTTGAATTCCCGCCAAAACTGAAATCTCCGAAAATTTTTGAAAAAAAACCCCGATTTTTTGTCTGAAATTTTATGAAACTGTGTTCGGGAAGATTACTGTAGACTACTGTAGTTTTTCTTGTAATTACAATCACGTCGATTTCTACAGCAATCTACAGTAACCTTCGCGACAAAAAATTTTCTAGAAATCGAGAAAAAAAGTCTCAGAAATAGCTGAAAATTCTAAAAAAAAAAGATCGGAAAATTTTGCAGAAAAATTAATGAAAAATTAAAGTTTTGGCGGGAATTTTCAAAAAAATCCCTTCCAGAAGTTTCCAGAAAATGGAACGATTTTTCAAAAATCACCAAAAACGGATTTTCGAGCTTCAAACTGGCTAAGAATCGCTTTGAAATTCTCGGAAAAATAGCTAAAAATGTAGGTCAAGAATTTACAATTTTCCAGACGACGAGGATCTATCACGAGACGATGGCAAACCGAAGATGATTCGTTACGGTATGAAGTGCGAATCGGACTATCTGAAGCGTCAAAAAGTGCTTCGTTTCGACGTCTACGATCAGTACAGAGGTTCGGTGGCCGATGGGCATATTTCGGAGCTCAACAAGACTGGAGCACAGAAGCGGAAAAAGGCTGAGCAATTGGCGATCGCCAGTTATACGTTGTTCACGTCGAGAAGGTGATAATGCTAAACTAGAAATTATAGAGTGGAAATTCCGTGAAACCTGTAATAGAAGGGCTCCCACACTGCTGTCAAGTTTGTGCTCAATATATCGGTTCCTGTAAGAGATATCAGCAATTCGTCAACTGATAAAAATTATATCATAAAATATTGGACATCATGATAATCAATTTATCAGTTGACAGATTTTTGATGTCTTTCATTGGAACAGAGAATTGGCTGAAAGTTGAAAGTCAGAGGGTCTTTCTATTACAGGCTTTGAGGTGATATCCGATGTTTCGTCTAGAAAATACATTTTTCCAGACAATTCCTCTCCTTCAACATCCTCCAACGAGCCATGAAGCCCAGCTACCAAGACGAAATTCACGCCTTTGCCATAGAACACGTCGATAGCAATGATAAATCGCTGAACGCAGACGAAGCTCTCGCCTGTTGGCTTCTGGATCGAGATTTTGGAAAAGCGACACGAACGCAGAGCAATAAGGCGAAGCAGAATCGATTCCAGAATGCAGGAGCGGCAGAAGACTCGGAAGACGAGGATAAACAATTTATGACGGTAGAGGATGATGATGACGATGAGGATGGAGAGTTGGATGATGAGAAGATGTTGGATAAGATTTTCAAGAAGATGAATGTGAGTTTTGGGTTCAAAACTAGCTAAAAATCGATCTAGAATATCTAGAACAAGGCCTGAAATTCATTTTCCAGCTCGAATGTTCCGGAAAACAAGTGCTGAACATGGCGAACGCCTGCAATCTCGACGAATACCACACCAAGGAGCCATGGATCATTGCTCCAGACAAAACCCCCGAAGTCGTCCCACTAATGGGTGTCCGGATGAAGAATCGCAACGATACGGTCGACAACACGATATGCGAACTGCTGCACGAGGTGAAATCAATGATTCACGGAACAGAACCGCTAACGTATCACGAGTTGAACGACGTCAAGTACATCTTCAGTCTGACACGACCCAAACGATGGGCGTTGTATATGCATTGGTGTGAGGAAGTGGTGAGGATTTTTTTGATTTGAAAAATTTGAATTTTGGGCTGAAAATCTAAATTTGTACCTAAAAATTCCGGGATTTCTCCCGAAAGTTATGATTTCTGAGTCCAAAAATACCACATTTATGACCTAGAATCACTAATTTCGTCTAGAAAAATCTAGCCTTATGTCCAAAAATTCAAGATTTTTAGTTAAGAATTCAAGATTTATGACCTAGAAAGTTCCAAAAACGCCTTCTTTAGCTAAATGTGTACTCAGAAAATCCAGATTTTGACCCAGAAGTTCTGAATTCCGAGTCCAAAAATACCAGATTTATGACCTAGAATCACTGAATTCGTCTAGAAAAGTCGAGATTATGAACCTTGAAATTCTTAATTTATAACCTAGATTATGATCCAAAAAATCCTAATTTTAAGCTGAAAAAATGACTAATTTCGTCTGGAAAAAACTAGCCTTATACCTAGAAATACCGGGATTTCCACCTGAAAATTCTGAATCTTGAGTCAAAATTTCGATTTCCAGAATTTCGAAACTTGTGACCTAGATTTTGATTCGAAAAGTTCAAATTTTGAGCTCAAAAATCACTAAATTGGTCTGGAAAAATCTAGATTTTTCCCAGAAAATTATGATCCTGTGTTCAAAAATTCCAGATTTATGAGCTAGAAAATTTAAAAAAATGCAATTTCATGGCCTACAAGTTCGAAAAATGCAATTTCAGCTAAATTTCTGCGCAGAAATTCCAGATTTTGACCCAAGAGTTGCTGATTAGAGTCAGAAAATCTAGATTTGTACCCCCAAAATTCCAGATCCTGACCCGAAAATTCTGAATTCCGAGTCCAAAAATTCCAGATTTATCACCTAGATTATGGCTTGAAAAATCCCAATTTTGAGCTGAAAAATCACTAATTTCCACCTGGAAATTCAAGATTTACGACCTAGAAAGCTCCAAAAAGGCATTTTTTCAGCGAAAATACGTCTGCCTGAATCTTCCGGAACAGATGCGCGAGTACCGCGCCGCCTGCCAACGCTTCATCAAAGCCAACGCTCGAATCGACGCGGAAATCATGAAAATGCCAATGATCGTTGGATGCACCACCACCGGATGCTCACGTCTTCGCCCGCAACTCGAGCAGGTCCAACCACGGATTCTGATCGTCGAGGAGGCCGCAGAAGTTCTCGAAGCCCATATTCTATCAGCAATGATTTCGAGTGTCGAGCACTGTGTAATGATTGGTGATCACAAGCAGCTCCAACCGAATCCAGCTGTTCACGAGTTGGCCGAAGAGTACGGAATGAAGATTTCAATGTTCGAGCGGTTGGTCGAACGAGCGCTACCGTATTCGCAATTGAGAGAACAGCATCGCATGAATCCGTTGATTTCGGATGTGATTGTGAAGCCAGCGTTCTATGATAAGTGAGTTTTTTTAATTGAAAAGTGGAGGGATTGCTCAGCCTCAAAATTCTTCAAAAAATAGTTCAAAAAAGCTTAAAAACTGCTCTAAAATGCCTAGAAATTGGCGGCCTAAAATTCCAAGAAATTGTCTTTAAAAGCCTGGAAATTGTCTTTAAAAGCTTAAAAAATGGCCCATAATGCAGAATTTGACCTAAAAAGTCTAAAGATTGACCTAAAAAGCCTAGAAATTAACCTGAAATGCCTAGAAATTGTCTTAAAAGCATAGAAATTAACCTAAAATGCCGATTAAGTGGCCTAAACGCCTAGAAATTGTCCTTAAATACCTAGAAATCGACCTGAAGTGCCTAAAAATTGACCTTAAAAAGCCAAAAATTGATCTGAAAAGCCTTGAAACTGAACTAAAGCCTAGTAATTGACCTGAAATGCCTATAAATTGACCTAAAAAGCGTAGAAATTAAACTGAAATGCCGAAAAATTGACCTAAAATGCCTAGAAGTTGTCCTGAAATTCCTGAAAATCGGCCTGAAAAGCATAAAAATTGACCCGAAAAATGCTTGAAAGTGACCTAAAAAAGCTTAGAAATCGTCCTAAAATGCCGAAAAAGTGGTCTAACAGCCTATAAATTGTCCTGAAATGCCTAGAAATTGATCTAAAAAGCTCAAAACTCGCTGGTAATAGGCGGAAAACCCACAATTGCGCAAAACTATGTTGCAATTCTACAGAGAATGACCCTAAATTCGCTGAAACTAATCTAAAATTCCTATTTTTCCAGCGTCATCGATGCCGACAACGTCTTCCACTACCCGCCAGTCGAAGGAATGGCCACGAATCTGTTCATGTGGTCGCACAAAGGCAAAGAACAGTCGCCCGACGGCATCTCGTGGTACAACACCCAAGAAGTCGCGATGACCGTATCCCTCGTGCGACACCTTCTCAAACAAAGCTACACCCATCGGGATATCGTCGTTCTGACGACGTACGCCGCTCAGCGAAACTTCATGACACGAGAATTTCCGGGAATGTTCGTCGGACCACAACAACAATACGAGCAAGGACAGATTCCAGTACACACTGTGGATAGTTTTCAGGTACATTTTTTACCGGGTGGAAAATGATTGAAAACTGGCTCCAAGTAGTAGCTCCAAGTCGTCATAATGCCAGATGACCCCCAGAAATTCTAATTTTCCCTCCTTTCCAGGGTCGCGAAGGAAAAGTGGTCATCGTCTCGTTGGTTCGTTCGCATCGTGGCGTTCCGGAGAACACTGGAATCGGATTTCTGGCCGTCCCCAATCGAATCTGTGTGGCTTTGACACGTGCTCAGCACGGAATGTATGTCATCGGAAACGCGGCGTATCGTCGAAAGCCGGACGGCTCTGGAACAATTTGGTCAACTCGAATCTGGATCAACAGGTGAGAAATTGGCTTATAACAGGCTTAGAATGAGCCAAAAATAGTCCGAAATGCCCCCAGAAAGTCTGGACACGCGGACACATAGACCGAGAGTTTTGTACCTCAATTTTTGACCTTAAAAATGCGATTTTCAGTCAATTTTCATGAATTTTAGAGTCGGGGGGAGGGGGGTTTATATGACCATTTTTCAAGCCGATTTTCAGACAAAAAACTCCATTTTTAGCTTAAAACAAGCTAGAATTCATGAGCAATCAGAATTTTCTGCTCATTTTCAGCCATTTTAAGGCTGATTTTTTGAGCTTTTTGAAGGCCGAAATTGTCTGTAAAAAGAGCCATTCCTCCCCCCCTCCCCTCTAAAACTGGCTCAAAATCCACAAAAAGAAACCATTTTCAGTCTCTCGTCGCCTATGAAATCCCCATCAAATGCGTTACTCACGGAAACGTCGCCCTCGTCAAAGATCCCGTCGACTTCAATCGTCTATCTCCAGAAGGCGGTTGCCTCGAACTCTGCGATCTTCAGAAGCCATGCGGCCACATTTGTCGTCGTCGATGCCATCCGAACGTCGACTCTGAACACGACCTACGATGCGAATATCAGTGTGAACGACGATGTCCGAATCCAGAATATCAGCACAGATGTATGCGTGCGTGCTACGAGGACTGTGGACAGTGTATGCATATGGTCGTCGTTCGACTGGCTTGTGGACATCAAGTGGAGACGCCGTGCAGTAGAGTGGCCACGGCGACTTGTGATCAGAAGTTAGTTCTTTTTATTCGAAAATATTGAAAATTTGGTCCTAAATGACGCANGATACACACAATGAGCAAGTTAAGTCATTTCTAAGTCATTTTGACATAATGGCCTAGAAAACCCAACTTGCAAAAGTTAAGCCACCGTGCTAAAATGATCTGTAAAAACACTAGGGGCATTTCAAGTCATTTCTAATCCATTTTAGCATGGTGGCCCAACTTTTTCAAGTTGGATTTTCTAGGCCACCACGTTAAAATGGCCTAGAAAATACCCTAGGTGAATGTTAGGCCAGATGTAGACCAACAAGATGGTCGCCTAGGAAACCCAACTTGCAAAAGTTTGGCCACACTGTGTTAAAATGGCCCAAAAACGCACCAGGGGCATGCTCGGCCGTTTCTAGGCCATTTTGACATAATGGCCTAGAAAATTCAATTTTCGAAAGTTAGGCCACCGTGCTAAAATGATCCGGAAAAACACTAGAGGCATGTTGGGCCGTTTCTAGGCCATTTTGACATAATGGCCTAGAAAACTCAACGCAACTTGCAAAAATTTGGCCACTATGTTAAAATGGCCCAAAATCACACAAGGAGCGGGTTAGGCCATTTCTAGACCATTTGAACGTAATGGCCTAGAAAATTCCAACTGCAAAAGTTAGGCCATCATGTCTACCATCGTTTCCTCTTCCAGATGCAACAAACACGTCATGTCGTGCCACCACAAATGCTCGAATCGTTGCGGTGAGCCGTGCATCACGTCAGCCGCCTGCCAAGAGCTCGTCCTTCTCGACCTCGAATGCAGCCACAAGAAGCCAATGAAGTGCGCGGAGCTGACGGCAGGCGAACCGGATTTCAGTTGTAACCAGCGTTGCGAGAATCGAATGCTCACTTGCCAACATCAGTGTGCCGAGTTATGTGGACAGCCGTGCACTGTGGAGTGTCAGGAGCCGGTCAAAGTGACACTGTCGTGCAAACATCAACAGGACGTCAAGTGCTGTAATTATGACCCGAATCGGCTGGATCTCGTTGTGTGCAAGGTAAAAAAGTGGCTGGAAATGGTTATTTCTTTCAGTCTCCTCCCAAGATTTGAAGTCTAAATCTCACAATTTTTCAGCAAATAGAGACAAAAATGCTGAGTCCATGTGGTCATTTCGAGCTGATCGAATGCAACAAACCCCCCTCCACCGTCGAATGCACTCGTCCGTGCCCAGAAACCATCGCCGAATGTGGTCACATTTGCGGAAACCTCTGTGGAACATGCTTCACCACCAAAAACCATCTGTGTCAGCAGAGATGTCCCGTCACTCTGGACTGTGGCCATTCGTGTATGGGCAAGTGCAGTGAACCGTGTGCTCCGTGCAAATCACTCTGTAAAAATCGCTGCGAGCATCAGAGTTGCGGAGGAGGTGTCGCGGATTTCGGCCGGGAGTGCAGCACGATTTGCGCCCTCTGTGTTCAGAATTGCTCGAATCGATGTGCTCACCGAAGCTGTACGAGACGGTGCTATGAGGAGTGCGATGTGAAGACGTGCAACGAGCCGTGTGCTGAGAAATTAGCTTGCGGACATGCTTGTTTGGGATTGTGTGGAGAAGTTTGTCCGAGTGAGTTTTTTTTAATGTTGGCTATAATCAATAGAATCGCCTAGAAACGACTCAAAAAATCATCAATTTTGGCTGAAAATTCGTCTAAAAAACGCTAAAGATGGCTAATTTCTTATCTGAAATTTTGAAATTTCAGCGTTTTTCAAATTTCACAAAATGTCTAAATTGAGTTTTTGAAAGTGAAAAGAGAGAATCGCTGAAATTGATTGAAAATTGTATCCTAAATTGGTCGCGAAATCCCACAAAAAACCCCATCTAAATTGACATTTCAGCAAAATTTCGAAATTTTACCTCTAAAATCATCATTTTTGGCTGAAAATGTGTCTGGAAAACACCAAAAATTTTGCCGGATTTCTCATCTGAAATTTGAAATTTTTTCCGAAAATTCAGGAAAATTTTTAGCTTGAAAAAATTCATCAAAACCGCGAAAATCGGAGAATATGACTCAAATTCTCCTAGAATCTCCAAAACGATCCGAAATTCTTTCAGAAATCTGCGGCACGTGCACCCGCCAACTCTACACAAAAGCCGTCGCCGGCGCTTCACCGCAACGCGTTCATCGTCTGATTCATGTGCCAAAATGCAGTCACGTTCACGCGGTGGAAGTGCTCGACGAGCATGTCAAAGCGCTGAAGGACCAAGGAAAATATCTGACGTGCTGCTATCCGGGATGCGGCGGACCACTAAATGGAGTTCATCGATACGCGAAATATCATAAGAAAATCTGGTTGGAGGAGAACATGGTGAGGAGCTAAAAATCTTCAAAATACGGTTTCAAAAAGTATTTAAAATTGATGAAAATTGACTGGAAATTTGGTTGGAAATGACTGAAAAGTCTAAAATTGTCCTTCCAAAAGAAATCTAGGTCATGACCTAAAAATTGAAAACCAGGTCATGACCTAATTTTGGAAATCTAGGTCATGACCTAATTTTGAAATTTAGGTCTTGACCTAATTTTGAAATTTAGGTCATGACCTAATTTTGGAAATCTAGGTCATGGTCTAATTTTTGAAAATCTAGGTCATGACCTAATTTTGGAAATCTAGGTCATGGTCTAATTTTTGAAAATCTAGGTCATTGCCTAATTTTGAAAATCTAGGTCATGTCCTAAAAATTGAAATCGGAAACTAAAATCCGCTAAATCAGCGCTCTTTTTCCAGAAAAAAGTGCGTGCCCGCGCGAGCAGCATCCATCACTCGACGTACGACACCCGACTCATTGAAATATGCACAGCCACCCTAGATCAAATGACACAGATTCAGCCGACCAACTTGTCAAATGATTTCTATCGATACATGGGCATATTCCGACACCACATCGCCAAATTCCGCGGTACCGGAGACACGTTCCGCGGAAAAGCCGATCAAAAGTGGCGACTCGCGTTCCTGTGCGACGTGGCAAGCTGCTATGGGGCGATGGCTCGTTTAATATCGACATCGTCGAAGTTTCAAACGTACAAACGGAAGAACATCCCTCCGAACGTTGATCAGATGTTGCAGCGGATGAATAATACAGATTCGCCGTTCTCGAGAGTCGTCGACGAGATGAGACGTGGTTTGGAGCATGTGCAGGAGAATTTCAAGTCGGGACTCGTTGGAGCAGTGCTGCCGAAGTTGAGACTTCTCATTGCGAGAATGACACTTTTCCAGATGGTTCGTAGGGGGAATATGGGGGGAAAGGGAGCTAAAAATGTGATTTTTGGTTCTGAAAATGCTGAAACCGCAACGTTTTTTGAATTTCGAAAATTTCAAAAATTGAGCTTTTTAACGGCAACAAAAACTCCAAGAAAGGAAGTTTTCTACAGTAATCCTTAATATTTTCAATTTTTGGAGTCCCAGAAAGATCTGAAATTTCAGCTTTTTTTTAAATTCCGAAGAACGTCAAAAATGGAAATCGAGATTCCTGAATTTTCACTATTTTATTTGTTGGAAAATCACTGAAATTGACTAAAAATTGTCCCAAAAAAATTTCTACAGTACCGTAAAACCTGTAATAAAAGGGCCCCCACACTGTCAATTTTGAGGGCTCAATTATCTCGGCTCCTATAAGAGGTATCAAAAATGTGCCAATTGATAAACTGTTTGTGATATGATGATAAACAATTTATCAGTTGCCCACTTTTTGACATCTTTGACAGGAATCTAGATAAATTGGCTCAAAGTTGAATGTTAGGGGGGGGGGGGCCCTTCTATTCCAGGTTTTACAGTAATTCTCCGAAATTTCATTTTTTCAGCTCACCACAATGTGCTACGAACTCATTTCTGATGGCCGCGACGTTTCGGACGCCGAATCCCGGGAGCTCTCGAAATATATTCAAATATTTGTCGGTTGCGAACAACACCACAAATTCGTACCGAGACTTGGTAAGGAAGGATGTGATGGCCTAGAAAATGCGTTATTGAAAAGTTAGGCCATCGAGAAAATTTGACCGTAACTCTGTCAATTTTCATCAATTTCTTGTGTAACCTAGATTTTTGAATTTGGCGCGTTCCAAGCTTTCAAATGAGTATATTCATGACCTATTTCAGAAGCCGTCGAAAAAACCATTGTCAAAATCGCGCCACGTGTCGTGGAAGGCCGAAAAATGGCGACTTGGAGCATGCTGAAAGTGCCGGATTTCTAGATTTTTCTAGAATTTTTTTTTATAAATATTTTTTTTATTGGTACCCCTTTTTCCCAGTACAATATCCCCCTTTTTTTTTGGCCTTTTTCCACCAAAAATCAAATTTCCCCGTCTCCACTGCCTCCCACTGCCTCACCATATCTCAGTTGTTTTACAACTCTCCGTGTGTTTTATATTATGATCATCATCATCCGAAAATTGTGGCCTGCCGGTTTCTTTTATAATATAGTATTTCTCTGAATAATAGTGAAAGATGTTTCAGCTATGCATCTCTATATGCTTGATCCAGATGGTTGAGCTGGGATTTTCCAGAAATTTCGAATTCTCTATTTTTTCCGAATTTTTAAGAAATTTTTGGAGTTTTTAGAATTTCTGAGGGGTTTTTCTTGAGTTTTTTCCAATTTTTCAGATTTTTTGGAACATTCAAAAAATTGAATTTTCGAGTTTTTCCGATTTTTGGAATTTTTAAGATTTTTTTGGAATTTACCGATTTTCAAAAAAAAATTGAATTTTCCGATTTTCGGGTTTTTATCCGAACCAGCCTGTTTGGCGCGCCTCCGGCGCTTCAAACGTCTGGCTGGTGCGCCTAGCGCGCTTTCCTTAGACCTTTTCAAAATTTGGGAGCCCTCGTTTTGCTGCTACCCTTTTGCACTTGCTCCCTGCATTTTTTGTCCCTGTCCTCTCCCAAAAGACGCGCTCCTCCAAAAAATTCCTTTGTCTTTTCTTCCTCACACTAGCAAACATTTTGTCTTACACATAGTGAGAGTGAGAGAGATATTGAGAAAAAAAATCGCGCGCGGCGGGCAAACACATTTTTCCTCCTCCTCCTCTGACCATCATTTTGACCGGTTCAGAGCCCCCAAGTAGAGCAAAAAGAGAGAGAGAGAGAGAGAGAGAAAGAAAGGGTACACACAGACATTGATATGCCATCTCTTATCAGCGATTTCCGGGATGATAATCCTGGCGCATCAATACCGGTGCCGATGCACCCCTAGGGATTATCAAATAAAATATGAAATCCGGAAGTTTTTTTTTGTTGCTCCGCGCGAGTTTCATGATGTTGGATGGAATGTGTTGACTGATAAAACAAAGGAGTGGTGATATGGATTGTGTAGTTTGGACTAGAACATTTTGAACTCAATTATCTCGGTTTCTAGAAGAGATATGGAAATTTTGTGAACTGATAAAATGTTAGTGATATTATGATAAGCATTTCATCAGTTGACAACTTTTTGATAGCGGTCGACTGAGATAATGGATCTTGAAAATTTAAGCGTCGTTGAGTCGCTACTCGTCCGCTGGCGCCGGCTGCCAACCGATTGAGTACCCCTAATTGAGCTCAATTATCTCAATTCCTGTGAAAGATATCGAAAAGTGCCCGACTGATAAAATGAAGCTGATATTACGATAAACATTTTAGTAGTTAGCAAAATTTTGATAGCTGTGACGGGAGCCGAGATAATTGAGCTTAAATTAAGGAGTTGTTGAGCCGCGCTGCTCGGTTGGCGCCGGCTGCCAAACGATGGAGTACTCTTACTTTGAGCTCGATTATCTCGGCTCCTAGAAGAGATATCAAAAATGTGTCAACTGATAAAATGTTAGTGATATTATGATAAGCATATCCATGTTATTTGGTTCAAAAATATTGATTTTAAAGGAAGTTAAGAGTCTTCCCGTTTTTGATAAAATATTACTGATATTATGATAAACATTTTATCAGTTGTAGATTTTTGATAACTTTAATGGCAGCTAAGATAATTGAGCTCAAAGTTGACGATACTTGCAAACGGACCAAAAACGGACCAAAAACGGACCAAAAACGGACCAAAGACGGGAAGACCGTTAACTTTGGTGAAAATCAATATTTTTGAACCAAATGAAATAGATATAATAGACAAACTCAAGAACTACAAGATGCTGTGTATTTTTTCAAAAATCCAAGATTTCCAGGATTTTTAGGGATTTTTGAAAATTTTGGATTTCTGGATTTTTAGAATTTCATAACATTTTTGGAACTTCGAATATCTGGAATTCCAGATTTTTTGGCTTTTTCGGCCATTCTCAAGTTCCAGAATTTCCGATGTAAAGAAACAATTTTAAAAAAACGCTTCCATTCAGCTATAAACTTTGGGCTCAATTATCTCGGCTCCTATAATAGCTATCGCAAATCTGTCAACTGATAAAATATTGCTGATGATATGATAAACATTTTATCAGTTGACACATTTTTGATAACTTTTACAAGAACCGAGATATATGGACTCAAAGTTACCAGTTGACAAACTTTCAATATCTTTTGTAGGAGCCGAGTTATGAGCGATTCCAAAACTTCGCAACTTCCGACTACGTCATCGAATCGCATTTCGTACTTCCTTCCTACTCCTACGGCGCCTTATAGCTCGGTTCCTTTGGAAGATATCAAAATTTTGTTACCTGATAAAATGTTTATCATAATAACAGTAATATTTTATCAGCTGACAGGTTTTTGATATCTTTAATAGGAGCCGAGATAATTGACCTCAAAGTTCAATTACAGGTAGTTTCGATTTTTAGTGCAAAGAGCAAAGTTTCACGCTTTCAAAACTAGTGTCAACTTTGTCGGAGCATTCTGAAATTTTCAGAGAATATACAACAAGAAAATGGCTTCATTTTAATAGTTGACAACTTTTTAGTACGAATTCATTAAAATGAGATATACCGTTCGAAACCCGCCAAGTACAAAAATCTGGCCTATCTCTCCAGTCAGGAATTATTGGAATCAGCTGTCAACTATAAAAATGAAGCTCTATTTTTGTTTTATAGTTTCTGAGCGCTTTCAGAACCATAGGATTACTGTAACCAACTTTTTCAGAGCTCCAAACTTCCGACCTTTTGGCTACGTCATCAAATCGTATTCCCTGAACCTGATGAACACGGCGCAAACACCATATTTTCCGGAAAAAGTGTGTGTTTCTTAAGAGCTCCTCACATTTTGCTCGTTTTCTAAGAACAGAGTATAATAATGGGGCAAGGGTGCAACCCCCACAGTGTCAACGCCGCAAAGAGATTTTTTTGTCATTGATCCGGTTGGCTGGGAGAGAAAGGCAAATGGGAATAGAGGAACATGTCATTACAAAGTACACCAACTAGAAACATCGCGCATCAAACATCATACATGTTTCGGTGACCCCAGGATTTGGTTTGTTGAACTCTGGCGGAAGGCAAAAAATTATACAGTATGCCATACATGTAATCCGGGCCTTTGCCGGGCCTTCGCGGGCCCTGCCATAAATTCTTTCAGAATCAATATTTTCTAACCAACTTAATCAGATATGATATCGCTCCACGAGTACTTCAAAACGTATTATTTGAAATACTTTATCTTATCTATGAACAAAGTTACAGATCATAAAGTGGCTTTTCTCGCAGGGCCCGGCAGGCCCGGGCCGGGCCTGCTTTTTTTCGCTCCTTTTGCTCTGTAACTCTGTTTATAGACAAGATACAGTATTCCAAATAATATCGTTTTGTAGTACTCGTAGAGCTCTATCACGTCTGATTGAGTTTGTTCGAAAACATTGATTCTGAAAGAAGTTATGGCAGGGCCCGCGAAGGCCCAGCAAAAGCCCGGATTACAATTATGCAGTATGCTTTGTAATGTCCATTCCATTTCTATGATGCTCCAATAGGACGAATCACTATAATTGGTATTTGAAAAACAATTGACGGTTTGGGTGGGCTTAGAGAATTAAAGGAGATACGGTATTTTCCTAGCTAAGGATTGAATTTCTGAATTTCTGAATTTCTGAATTTCGGAATTTCGGAATTTCTGAATTTCCGAATTTCTGAACTCCTGAATTTCTGAATTTCTGAATTTCTGAATTTCTGAATTTCTGAATTTCGGAATTTCGGAATTCCTAAATTTCTGCGGTTCTTAATTTCTGAATTTCGGAATTTCGGAATTTCTGAATTTCTGAATTTCTGAATTTCTGAATTTCTGATTTTCTGAATTTCTGAATTTCTGAATTTCTGAATTTCCGAATTTCCTAAAATTTCGGGTTTCGAAGTTTTCAGAATTCTAAAATTGACTTTTTTCTCCCTGAAATTTAAGATTTCTCAATTTGAAGATTTCCACAATTCCAGAATTTTGTTACGTCTTCTTCCTTTTCAGCATTTTCAGACTTATGGATTTTAGTGAATTCGGTTTTTTGCAGTTTTCGAATTGTTCGGAATTTCGACTTTTGAGTTTTTGCAGTTTCAGAATTTTGTAATTTCTAAAATTCAGAAACTCTAGGAATTCAAAAGTTTGAAAATTCAAAAATTCAGAAGTTTGGAAATTCAGAAAAAAAATTCCAGCTCATCTGAAAACTCCAGAAAGATTCAATGACGAATTTTCTCTCTCTCTCTCTCTCTCTCTCTCTCTCTCTCTCTTCCCGAAAGATCAGAATGTTCTTGTCTGGCTACAACACCAACCCTGACACATTTCTATTTGCTCTGATATCGCAAGTTCCAAATTATTCCCTCCTCTGAACATGTCAAATGACGTAACCCCTTGTATGAATGACTCATCATAGGAATCTGACTACTGTATCCGGTCCTTCCCATTGCTAAGCACGTCACGTTCCATGTGGTAAATGTGTTATTCAACAAAAGGCAACTAGTTAATCGAAAAATGACCGAATTGAAAAGAAAATATCGGACACAGACACACTATGTCAATAAACACTGGATACTTGAGTTGCCATTTTTCTGTGTTTGGTCAGTCAGTTCGCTTGTAAAGGGTTAAAGCTGGAATTTGGAAAGTTGGAGATTCAGCAATTTAGGTTTAGGTTGGATAGAATTGGAGGGACATGAATTATTGTAAACACTCTGCTGCTGTCAACTTTGAGTCTATATATCTCATTTTCTGTGAAAGTCAACTGATAAAATGTTGCTGATATTATGATAAACATTTTATCAGTTGACACATTTTTGTTACCTTTTATAAGAACCGAGATATATGGGCTCAAAGTTATCAATGCTTGCAAACGGACTGCGAACGGACCAAAAACGGGAAGACTCTTAACTAACATTTTTAGGGATTTTTGAAAATTTTGGATTTTTGGATTTTTAGAATTTTATAACATTTTCGGAACTTCGAATATCTGGAATTTCAGATTTTCTGGCTTTTTCGGCCATTCTCAAGTTACAGAATTTCCGATGTAAGGAAACTTTCGAAAATAAATAAAACACTTCAGTTAAGTTATAAACTTTGGGCTCAATTATCTCGGCTCCTATAATAGCTATCGCAAATCTGTCAACTGATAAAATATTGCTGATGATATGATAAACATTTTATCAGGTGACAGATTTTTGATACCTTTTATAAGAACCGAGATATATGAGCTCAAAGTTACCGGTGCTTGCAAACGGACTGCGAACGGAACAAAAACGGGAACACTCTTAACTTTCTTCAAAATCAATATTTTTGAACCAAATAACATGGATATGATAGAAAAGCTTAAGAGCAACAGGATGATTTTATTATCAAAGTTGAAGATGGTTAATGAACAAAGTTATAGGTCTTTCTCTAAAAGTATGGTATTTGCCGCAGAAAAGTTTCCCATCATTTCTGCCAAAAATAGTAAAATTTGAGCGTCTTGGAAAGTATTTAGGATCAGTTTTTATTGTCTGAAACCGTCAAAAAGCTATAAACCAAGTCTGGAAATTTATTTTTGCAGTTTGAGAATTCTTTTTCAGGACATTGCTAGAAAAATACCGTATTTCATGTAATAGAAGCCCAAAATTTGCCTCTTAAACATTAGCCTTGTTAGTACGATTTGGATTTGATTTTTTTTGTTTTGGCGGGGGTTCAAAAAAACTGGAATTTGGAAAATTCTTCAAAACTGAACTGAGAATTATAATGTTTTGGAAATCTGTACTCATTTGAAAGCTTGAAACGCGCCAAACACAAAAATGGAGGTTGTTTGACTACGTTTGACAAAGTTGAGACAAAACACTATTGGAGAAATTAGGAACCACAGAGATCATACTGGATTAAGAATTTTCGAAATTCCTCATTTTCGAATCCCCCGCCAAAACAAAACAAAAAATCAAATCCAAATCGTACTAACAAGGCTAATTTTCAAGAGGCCAAAAGCGCCAAAAACATGTGTTTTTGTTTTTTTTTGGTCTCTACCGCCTCTTAAGGGGTCAGCGAGGAACACTTCATCTTTATCTTTTTATAGCGCACCGTCCATTTTTTTTTGCTTCGAAAAATTCCAAAAATTAGGGACGAAACGACGAATTGCGCAACTTGAACTACCGAACTGAACAAGCGAGAGGAAAAAACATAATCAGTGAGGAAAGATAGAGAGAAAAAGAGAAAAATGTAGGGCTATTCTTAGATTGTTATGTTTTCCGAGGCAGGCTGTGATCCCCTGTTCCTCCGAGAAAGGGCAACTTGCACACTTTTTTGGGATAAGGAATTTTATCTTTTTTTTCCATTGGTTTTCAAGAAGAAGAGATTAGAAAACAGTAGTCAAGTTTGAGCCTAATTATCGCAATTACTGTAAGAGATATCAAAAATTTGTAAATTAATAAAATGTTGGTGATATTATGATAAATATTTTATCAGTTGACAAATTCTTTATATCTAGTATGGGAACCAAGATAATTGAGCTCAAAGAGCAAGTAGACAAAGATTACCTAAAACGCGTGAAATGAGATAGAGGAACGCCGCTGATAAGAGCTTGATCATCTAGGTTGCTATCGGAGATATCAAAAAACTATCAATTAATAAAATTTTTATGATATTAAGATAAACATTTTATCAGTTGACAATTTTTTGATATCTTTCTTGAGAACCGAGATAATTGAGTTCAAAGAGAAAGTACAGATTTTTCAGTGATAAGTACATAACAAAGTTTGATGCTCTGACAAAGTAGGTCAGAGTATTGGAGCTTGCTGAAGTTTTTTGAAAATATAAAGCAAGAATAGAGCTTCATTTTTGTAGTTGACAACTTTTTTGTAGGAATTTCAGAAAATGAGATATAGCGCTTGAAACACGTCAAGTGCCAAAAAATCTGAATATGTGAACACCAACCACTGTACACCACCACGTCAAAATGCAGATTTTTGAATTTGATCATGTTTATACTCATTTGAAAGCCTAAAATGCGCAAAGTTCGAAAATCAAGGCTTCACAAGAATTGGACAGAAACTAGCCGAGTTGTGCTCGAAAGAGCTTTTTTTTTAAATTTTTCTTTTGACAAAAATAGGTCATGGCTATACTCATTTGAAAAGTCAGAACGCACTAAATACAAAAATCAAGGTTTTACAAAGATTGGATAGAAATTGACAGAGTTAAGATTTTCAGTTTTCCCGGGTTTTTTTGGATTTTGAAAACTTCGAAAATCCTCAGGCTTCCGGTATATGCGACTCTACGTGCAAGAAGATTTTTACACACATTGTAACAAATTTCACAATCATCGCGTTGTCACTAAAAATCCGGCTATCTGTGTGCGTGTGAAAAATTCCCAAAATGTGAGGTTTTGTTTTTTTCATCACCTCCAAAGAATCTCTGCGTCTCTCTTTCTTATCACTCTCTCTCTCTCTCTCCCCCCAAAATCTCAAGAAGCCCATCTTCTTGTTTCGAACGCAGGACACTTTTTCTCTACACCCTCTCTCTCTCCAGGAGCACCTTCTTGGCTCCGGACGGGGGGCGGAGCCTAAAAGATTGCCGCGCGGAATCGGGGTGGCTTCTCCCGCCCCGGGTACAGCCGCGACAAATATAAAAGGTACGCGGTGGCATTTGGAGAAGAATACAGAGCTTCATTTCTCTAGTCTTTTCCCCCTATAATCACCCCCATTTTTTGTTTCAAATGGCAGCCCGCAGAGCAGCTTTCGTTTTCGTCGCCTTGCTGGCAATCAGCAGCGTCTTCGCTGAAGAGGAAGCCCCTGCCAAGGTAACCTTTTTTTAATTGCTTAACTATCTAATTTTTTATTTATTGGAGCCCCCGGCCCTTACTCCTTGTGCCTGAGAAGCTTTGAGCTTGTTAGTTCCAAATTTCTTTAGTCCTAATTCCTAATAGAACTTTTGAGTTTCTTGTTATACAAACATTAGAATTCATAGAATCCATTAGGCTTGCCTGTCCAGGCCGGATGTTTGTACGTAGTACCTTTCATGGAGGGGACAGGTATAGGAGCATAATAGGGCATAATAGAGCATGATCGGAGCATTTTCTAGAATCCTAGGGAGCTAAGAATCCATTACTTGCGGATCCATCAGGCCACCTTGGAGTAGCCGAGAGGTTTACCCCTTGGGTTAGACCCATGGGTTCCGAATTAGCCAGCTGACACTAAGCCTATGAAACTGGTATAGTTCGGTTCACTTTGGCTAGCTCTGACCAGTATAGGACACCCTTGGGGTTTTTCATATTGGCTTAGGCCAGCTTAAACCACGCTACTTTTAGCTTAGGATAGCTTAGGCTAGCTCAAACCACGTTTTTTAGGCCTAGGCTTAGACAAGCTGAAATTACGCTTAGGCTTAGGCTTCGACTAGTTAGGCTTTGGCATAGAAAAGCCCTAACCAAGTAACTTCTAGCCCAGGCTTAGGCTTAACCTACGCTACCTATGGCTTAGTCGATTCTTAAACCGATCCTAACGTCTAGACGATCTCCGATAGCTCCTCACACTCAAAACTCGCCGGCTCTCAAGAACCCAAAGAGTCAGCTGTGTCTTCTTCATTTTCGTCTTCCATAAAAACAGGAAAAATTATAGTGTAAACAAAGGGAATCGGGAGCCCACTAGCCTCCCATCCCTCCCGAGTGCTCCGCGCAGAACTCTAAGCATACAATAGCCGCCACCCCAAGAACTAAACAATGCTCACACACACATACAGAAAGAATTTCCAAAATAACCCTCTTTTCTACAGAACGAGACCGGATTGGCTCTATCGCGTGCCAAGCGTCAGTGCTGTTCGTCAAGCTCCAACTCTTGCTGCGGCAACAACAACAACGTGCAGTGCGTGCCAGTTTGCCTCCAACAGTGTCAATCGTCCTGCCAAACCGTCCAGTGCGTGCAGCAGTGTCAGCCAGCCTGCAACCAGCAGTGCGGTGGTGGAAACCAAGTGATCCTTCTCCCACAAACCAGCTCCTGCAACCAGTGCCAACAACAATGCATCAGCTCCTGCGCCACCCCAATCTGCGCCCAATCCTGCAACAACCAATGCTCTAACCAGTGCGGAAACTCGGCTCCACAAATCGTCGTCCTCCAACCACAACAGAACCAGTGCGGATCCTGCCAATCGTCCTGCCAACAGACCTGCCCAACCTGCAACTGTCAATCGGCTTGCGCTCCAGCTTGCGGAAACAACAACAACAACCAGCAAATCATCGTCGTCCAACAAGACAACTCTTGCTCGTCCAACTGCAACAACCAATGCTCCAGCTCTTGCTCCACCCCAATCTGCATCCAGTCCTGCCAGTCGTCCTGCCAACAGGCCTGCCAGCCAACCTGCCAGCCACAATGCATGCCATCCTGCTCGTCTAGCTGCACCTCCAACCAGGCCCCAATTGTGATCGTCGCCCAGCAAGGAGACTCCTGCTCCAACTCGTGCTCCAACCAGTGCCAATCCGCCTGCCCAACCCCAATCTGTGTTCAACAATGTAACTCGCAGTGCCAGAACCAGTGCTCCAACTCGTGCTCCGGAAACAGCTGCAACCAACAACAGGTAGGATATGAGGTTTAGCTTAAAGCTTAGTTTGGATTAGCCAGCTAACGCTAAGCCTATAAAAATGATCCGTGCTCCTTTGACTAGCTCAGACTAGCTCAAACGGCGCTACCTCTAGCATAGGCTTAGGCTTAGGCAAGCTTATACCACTCTTAGGCTTAGGATTAGACTAACCTAAACCAGAATACCTTTGGCTTAGGCTAATTCTCAATCTCCTATAGCTCACTAGCTCCTCAAAACCACTCCGATACTTCCAGGTCATCGTCCTCCAACAACAAGACAACTGCCAGAACCAATGCCAATCCTCTTGCATGAACACCTGCCAATCCTCGGCTACCGTACTCCAGTGCCAGCCAATCTGTCAACAGACCTGCCAGAACACATGCCAACAAGCCGCCCAAATCGTCGTCCCATGCCAATCGACCTCTTCCGGATGCGGATGCTCCTCCGGATACTCCCAATGCGGAGGATCGTGCTGCCGTCGTCGTTAAGCGGTTTCTGTCCCACCCAACGACCCCTTATAACCCCCCGAGTGATCCATGTAACTGGATGTACCGTGTCCTAAGTTACCGTATCCGCGTTTTTCATGCGACAACTTCTGTTTTCGTTTTTTTTTCTCTCTCTGTGTCTCTCTGTCTCTCTTCCCCCCTACTTCTCACATAACTTTTAATATATGACATTGTCTGTAAATAAGTGGTAGCAATGTGAGTTGTCCCAATTTTACCTAATTATTCGTTTTTTATGATTATTTCATTGTCCGGGATGTTTCGACAATAAATTATTCCTAATTTAAAAGCTCTTGTTTTTCGAAAATTTAAAAAATCAAAATTTTAACTTTGAGCCAATTTATCTCGGCTCTTATAAAAGATATCAAAAAGCTGTCAACTGATAAATTGTAGATCATAATATCATTAACATTTTATCAGTTCACACATATTTGTTATTTCTTATAAGAGCAGAGATAACTGAGTTCAAACTTGACAGTGTGGATGTCGGCTCTTCTATCCAAACGGAAAAAGGAGGCGGAGCCTATAAAAAGTAATTTCCCAAGTTTCTGGGTCTTTTCTCTTTTATCATGCTTTCCTTTGTTTTCTCCCCCCCCCCCCCCTTGCTCTGTCCTAACGTCCTCGCGCCACAACTGTACCCCATCACGCGACGTCTCTGCGATCACAACGTTCTCTCTCCCTCAGTAACATTTTTATACATCTTCCACCTGGCACGACATGTTGCCCCAAAGTTCTCTAGCTTCTTCTTCTTGTTTTTTGTTATTCTCCCGCCACAGGAAACTGTATTTTTGAAGTTTTGAATTTCTGAAAAACACCACCCCAATTCTTGAAGTTTGAGCTCAATTATCTCGTCTCCGATGAGAGATATCAAAACTTTGTCAACTAATAAAATGATTATCACTATATCAGCTACATTTTATCAGTTGACATATTTTTGATATCTCTTACAGAAACTGAGATAATTGAGCTCGAAGTGCAAGAGTTATGAATTCTTGGACCGTATTGTACATTTTGAAATCTTTTAATTTTGCTTTTGTCTTCGATTTTAGAAATTTTAGGACTTTTAGGATTTCAGGATTTTCAATATGTTAAAGATTTTCAAGATTTCCCAAATTTCTAAAATTTCCAATATTTCCAAGATTTTAGAATTTTCAAGATTTACATGATTTTAGGATCTTCAGGATTTTAAGATTTTCATGATTATCAAGATTTTTAAGATTTTCAAAGTTTTCAAAATTTCTTGATCATCAGGATTTCAAGGATATTAAGATTAACAAATTTTCGAAGATACAGAATTTCAAAATTTGAAAATTCGGAATTTTCCAAATTTCGGATATGCAAAGATTTTCATGACTTCAAAATTTCAAGATTTTTAGGATTTTTATGATTTCTGAACTTCCGAGTTTCTTAAATTTCTGAAGTCCTAAACTTCTGAATTTTCAAGTGAAAAAACTGAAAATTTCAGATTTTTGGAATTTCTGGAATTTCCCAAAATTCAAAAAGTCGGAAATCCAGAAAGTCAGTAATTCAAAATAGCGAAATTCGGTCCAAATTCATCTAGCGCTTTTTTAGATTTTTCGGTACTAGGCTGCTTCCAAGCGGTATATCTCATTTTCTCGAATTCCCACAAAAACGTTGTCAACTACAAAAATGAAGCCCTATATTTATTCAGTAGACCCACCAATTTCCACATTTTATCTGACAAAATTACGGTATTTTCTAGGCGTCTAAACTTGCCAATTTTTCAACTAAAAAGCCGACACAAAGCTGGTAATAGTGGTACCGTTATGCCGCGTTCAAAGTTGATTTCCAGGAGAAATTTCCTGGAAAAACGCTGTCCAAAGCTGCCATTGTTTTCCAGAGACCTTCGCTTCAAAACCCGCCGTAAATCGACATGAATCAACAGAAAAAACACAGTCAAAACGAGTGCTACAGTAGTTTAGTGTTACTGTAAATCTGGAAAACAAAGACAGCTTTGGACAGGTTTTTTCCAGGAAATTTCTCCTGGAAATTAACTTTGAACGCGGCATTA